ATGTGATGAGGTTTTGTTAGCAGTGGGGCTGCAGGGATAGGCTCTGGGACAAGAGACCAGGGCCTGCTTCTGTGCCAGGCAAAACCAATTCCAGCTGGCCTGGCTGCTGGACCAAATGGATCGACGGACCTGCTACTGACCAAAGCTCGGCCTATCAGCCTCCGTGACAACACGTTGAAGAAAGTGTAAAAAAATGTGTGGCAACTGTGAGAGGGAGGATTGAGAAAAATGTGTGAGAAACTGCCCTGCAGACACCAAGATCTGAAAAGTATGGGGAGGAGGTGCTGCAGGCACCAGAGCAGAGATTTCCCTGCTGCTCATGGAGAAGACCATGGTGAAGCAGGTATTCATTCCCCTGCAACCCACAGAGAGGATCACATGGGACCAGATATCCACACCTGTAGTGTGTGGAAGACCCCACACTGGAGAAGGGAATGATGAGTGAAGTTGAGCCTAGAAAGAAGGGTGGTGGGGGAAGGGGTTTTAGTTGGTTAGTTAGTTTGTTTATTACTCTATTTTTAATTGGCAGTAACTTAAATTAGTTTTCCTAGGGTATCTTATGACCATGAAGATAACTGTTAAGTGATCTCCCTGTCTCTACTGCGATGCACAAGCTTTTCCATCTTATTTTCTCCCCCTGTCCTGTTGAATGAGACCGTGGCAGGCTGAGTGCACGGCTGCTGGACAAGGTCAACCCACCAGAGCTCTAAAATAAAATAATGTTTCCATCTCTGTCACAGATTAGCAGGACTGAGACTGCAATAGGGAAAAAAAAATCCAAAGGAAACTGCCTAGAATGCATGGGAATAAACAGAATTAGTAAGGAGCAGAACAACTTCTCAGAGAAGGCCACGTGAACAGGGAATCTTCAAAAACCCATAGTTTCTCTACTGCAGTGCAGCCACATGTTTGAAAACAATTTCTTACACTAACAAGCAAAAAGATTCATGCTCCATGAAAGGAGAGTGCTGAAAACCTCATTTAAAATACCGTTGTGTGTGACATGGCACTGAGGTCTTCTTTAGCCCATAAAGGAATTTTCAACAATACTTACTGAAATATAATGTAGCAAGTGTTTTAAAGTAAAGTGAGACTGATTGACTTGCAGTAATAAATTGATTCTGCCAGCAATTCTTTTAGAAACAACTATTTTAAGTTCTTTTGCAGCTAGGTTTTAACAATCCTGAAGTGATTTATTTCATCCCAGCCCCAGAACTCCATCCTAGTATCCATTATGATAGTAAGCACATTTCAGTTATGAAAAAACATTGAAGGGCTGTGCATCTCTATCTGATACTTAAGACTATGGGAAAAAATCTCCAAGCTATTGTAGCACAGGACTGGTTTTAGCTTCTTTTGTTTTCAGCCAGGATAACCCTTAGAGTGGCAAAATTAGCAAAACTCTCTTAGATAATACTCATTGAATGAACTCTTTCCTGAATGAGTTTCCTGCTAAAATTAATGTTCTGTTAAAATTATCACCAACCTGCTAAACAGATGGGGTCTGTGGGAAACATTCACACTGCTTCACATGCTTATTGTAAGAAATCTCTAGAATAATAAAACCCAGAACAACACAAAATTGCCAGTAGAACTGAGCGAACATTAAATTCTACTAACAATCATCATGTTTATAGCCTAAAACACTCTTGTAATTTAGCCTTGTTTTCATGGCTAAGTAACTAAGGTCTTATACCTGTACCCTGGGAAATCTATAAACACACAGAGAAATTAACTGTTGCTTAGGAAAGAGAGCTTGCAAATAGCTTTATGGAAATGTCACCTAAATCCTCACCAACTGTCAAAAAAGAAAATGGTATATTAGGAAATATTAGGAAAAGAGCAGAGAACACAGCAGAAGAAAACATAAAAATACTGCCATATAAATCCTTTGCCCACCTAACAGTTTGAATACTGAATATAGTTCCAGTCATCTCATCTCAAAAAGGACAGGGAAGGAATAGAAAATACATGGTGACAGGATGATCAAAGGTATGTAGTGGCTTCTGTACTAGGAAAGAAAAAACAGCTTTAGGATTTTCATATTGGAAGAGGCACAACCGACGGAAGGCTTTGTGACAGAGCCTCATAAAATCAAGAACAGTACTGAGAAAGGGAATAAGAAAAGCTTTTTCACTGTCTTTCATAACACAGGAAGCACGGTGATTCCAATAAAGTGAGCAGTTAGTGAGTTTAAAACAAACAAACAAACCCAAGAAAGGACGTTTTCCACAAAGATCATAATTAAACAGGGGAACCCATTGCCATAGGATGCAGTAGATGTCACATACACGAGTGGAGCTCAAAAAGCAATTGACTGAGGTGGTAAAAGAAACATTGCTAATCTCTGTACTTTGCACAAAAAGGCAGAACGTAAACCTTCAGCTCAACGAGCACTACAGAGTGCTCTGGGATGACACCATGGGAAGTTAATCTTCAGTCTCATTCAGATACAGCTCATGGTGATCTTTTACAACATGCAGATGTTAGAAAGCATACCGTGCCTTTAGCAAAAATGCAGGGAAGTTTTTGAGGGCAGAAAATTCATAATTTCCCCATTTCTCCTGTGAAACTGCATGCCCTATGGTAATCAGACCAAGTGAAGAATTGGTGTTTATTTATTTTTTTTTTTCAGGGTGGGGAAACCTTACACGAGGTGAAATAGAAGATCCTCTATCTAAGATAGCATCCCATCTACAGCATTGGCTACAATACAAATTTTTGGCTGGTATGACATATTCAGCTTTCAGGATATTATAAACTTTGAAAAGCCATGCAAACCTTTTTCATCCCAGTCACTGAATAAATATTATGAAAGAAAACGTTCTGGAAGAAAATCCTCCTGAGGCTCAAGTCCAGCTTCACATCCTAGCTATTGCTGTCACACCAAGCAATGTTCCATCCCTTCTCTCACAGGCTGATTTTCATTGAAAAATAACATGGGCAGATAGCAGGAAGAGGCTGTGATATCAGTCAAAGCTCAGTGGTCTGGGCCACACCTAGCCTATGTGCAACCTGCATGCCCAAAATCTAGTCAGCCAAAGCCAGTCAGAACATTTTCTGTTATAAAAGCATTTTGTGAATATAGCCTTCAGTCTCATAAGAAGCATCAGCCATCCCATACAAGCTGCTGAGTAGTGGAACTGGCAAGACCTTCACTTATAGCATGACAGAGAGCAGGGTAAAGCCTGTTTTGATGAACAGCATCAAATAAAGGATGCAGAGATCAAGCAACTTTGCTTATTCACTAAAAGTAATCTTATTTTATCACCACCATAAACTGAAAGTGACAATTCCACATATTCTTATACATTTGTCTGGAAAATTCCTATTTGTCTCCCATGAATTAGCTTAAACAGGTTAAGATGAAGATCACTGCACAAGCAAGACTACTTTTTCTTTCTTTTTCTTTTTCTCTTCTTTTTCTGTTTTTCTTTTTTGGGAGGAAAGGCAGTATCATCATTTTCTTCTGTAAGATGGGAGTTTTTTCTATCATTCTCTTTAAACTTCAATAGCAGTTGGATGCCAAACCTGAGGCTTCTTAGAAGAACCTCACCTAAAGACCTCCTGCCTGAGCAGGCTGAACTACTTCAACTTCAAATGGTATGTAAGCCCCTCTGCATACATTTATGCCAATCTGGAATCACATATTTGGACTAAATTTAAGCCTGTTCCTGAGAGACTTGACCAAAAAAAAAAAAAAAAAAAAAAAGAGAGAGAAAACTAAGTAGAAGAGGTATTGCAGAGAGGTACTGCAGAAAATGTTATTTCCAAGTATCCGCATTGGAAGAATTAATACTATTGAAATTCATAGTATACATAAAGAAATGGCAACCATTCAAAACTGATGGAACAAAAATGAAGTTTACATTCAAAGAGGTGTGTCTGTCTAACTTTCTTCAACAGTTACCTAAGTTAACATGAAATCGGTATTTTGACCAAGCCAAAAGACTTCCTTACATGGACATATACTTACCCTAGTGTCTGTCCACATAGTAAATCCATTCAGGGTAACCACACAAGACAGAAGAACCATTTCTAGTGGCACAGAACCAAACTGCCACGAGCCCAAGCATGCTAATATGTTTATGCTGGCATTTCAGCACAGCAGAGCTCAGCAGAGCAGAGCATTTTTCAGCTAGCAGAACTGTTGTGTTGGTCTAGGGAAAGATATCTTAAGACCCTGACTGGCTGAAAAAAGCCCCCATAAAACTCATTTTTTACTGGAGGCATGGGAAACCACAGAGCGCTTCCCACGGTGGTTTTACTACCCTGGCATGAGGTGGAACTGTGCTGAAGCCATGCCCAAGGAATGGTTTGCTCATGGAGCAAGTATATCCATACTTCTGAGTCAGTAAGGAAAGTGCTTCTGCTGTGGGTGCAACCATAACAGACCACACTGGCTCAGTCACATTTGCAGCTGCTTACTGCTTCCAGAGTGCATTGGAAGAATTAAACCTTGCGGTGCAGAACAGACCCCAAGTCAGCTGAAAACCCTATTGGGAAAATGAGGCAGCTTAAAGACACCTGCAAACTACAGCTATGTCTATCAGGCATGCTAGTCCCCCCCAAGTTAGTCTCACCTACCCACCTACACTGAAACGTGTCCAAAAAAACGCAGCTTTTTGTTGTAGTTTTTATCAGGTCTACAAATGATACGAACTATATACCATGTCTGTGGGGCTTGCCATTACTACAAGAATTGACTTTAAACCTTGTACTGGCCCAGCAGCCCTGCAATATGCAAGCCTCGGATGACAACTGTGCACCAACAGCTTCTTGTATAGTCCTGGCTTTATTTTTTGAGGTTCGGTGCTCTTAGAGATGAGTAAGCATTGCTTTAAGGGACACTCATGAACACAGGAGCAATCAAGGAAGGCATTAAGGCAACAGGAATAAGTTAAAGGGTAAAACAATCAAACAAACAAACAAACCACACCACAACAACAAAAACCAACCCACATACTCAATCTGCATTAGCTGTATCCTTTGCACGGGGTAGCTGGTGCCCAGGTGCTGGCAGCGGGGGCTGCAGGGTTGCTGTGTTAGGCGTGGCCGAGGCCCTGCAGCCAAAATGGCGGCGCCTCAGGGAAGGGCTTTAAGGAGAGCAAAATGCTGCACAGACAGACAGGTGGCAGCAAGGAGGGGAATAACAAAGTCAGAAACGGCTGAGGGAACACCATGATTGGGGAAGAGGAGAGGAGGAGGTGCTGGGGCAGATCTCCCCTGCAGCCCATGGTGGAGCAAGTGTCTATTACCTGAAGGGCTGCCGCCTGTGGGAGAGAGCCCACACTGAAGCAGGGCAGAAGTGTTAGAGGGAAGAAGCTGCAGAGAGAAGCCACTTTGTACTGACTAACAGTGCTTTGTGCTGCCCAAAACCACACTGCTGGGATGGGAAGAGAGGTATTGGGAGTGAGGGAGTGCAGATAAGTCTGGGTAACAGAGGAGGAAAGGTCTCATTTTAGTCTTTGTCTTGTCTTTCACTGTCTGAATTTATGATAATTGGTGGTCAGTTAAATTACTTTTCCCCAAGTTGAGTCTGTTTTGCCCATGCTGGTAATTGGTAAATGATGTCCTTGTCTTTACCTCAACCTGCAAACTTTTTCATCCTATCTTCGCTGTCTGTCCTGCTTAGCTTGGTTATTGAGAGGCTGGTCAAGGCTATTCCACCACACCCGTGGAGAAGGCAGTATGCTCATGCTGCTTGGCCTTCAGTGGAAGCATCCATGCTGGGTTTTGTGCACCTCAATTATGTACCTGAATTTCATACCTTCAGTGAGCTTAATCCAAACTCCCCTTAGCAGTCCCTATGTAGACAAGGAACAACTTTGTTCTAGGTGAGCATGGGGATGCAACCCTACTTTCCTACTACATCTATTGCAGCCAGTTTGTGAAAACACTATCCAACTCTGTTTCCTGCTTGCAAGTTGTTAATGGGCACTTTTCTGCCAATGCATTTGTTAATTACGCACTGAATTATTTGGACAAAGCATTTTTAGCCTGTGGGTTGTTTGTGAGCCATTTGCTGTTGGCTCAGCATTGTTAATAATTGTTTTGACTTTTGCCTTACGTGCCTTATGGTGCTGGAAGAATAATATTGTTCATGAATGGCCACCTCTCAGTAATAATAATGTTTCTGCTTACTTAACAGATGAAAACAATGTTCGAAATAGACACAGGAGAATAAGCAATGACTGAATAACAAACAGTGACTAGCTGCTGCCTTTGTTTGCACGTGGATATTGTTTGCATGAGTACAAAGTATTGAACAAACCAAAGCACTTCCTCATACTTGTAAGTAAATACTTCTCAATATTTCAAAAAAGGAATTGAGATGTCATCAAACCAAACAGCTGTTTGGCTCTAGCAGACATTTAATACAAATGTTATCGCAGTAGTGAATCAGTTTAATCTGTGAGGAAACAAGTTTGCTGTGACCAACGTGTAATTTTTAATGCAAAGGACATCCTGTTACTAAAGGGCTTTTGAGTGGAAGAGCTATGGAGACAACCAATTACATTTACTGTATTTGCTCTAAGTTTGGAGGACAACCATATGGAATTACTTCATTTGCTTTAAGCCACACAAGTGTTTTTTTTTTTTTTTTTTCTTTTACTTCTGTTTTTCCTTAAAACCCATTTGCCACCTGAAACAGTCACATCTGGTAGGGTCGATTCTTTTTCTTTGCCCCTGCAATACCACACACACATTTTTTAAGTCCCAAAGGCCTTTGGCATTGCATTACAATGGATCAGCCACCTCTAATACACTGAGAGGGAAGAAAAGCAGACTGCCCAAGAGAGGGATAGCAGGCAATCTGCCCTGAGGCCTCACTATTGTTGTTTCATTTAGAGAGCCAGGCAATACCACAGTATCTATGACAAAAGAGGAAAAGATTTCAAGTCCCCCCAGCTGTCACCTTCTTAATTCAATAATGATCGTTCAGTTGGTCCCAACTGTCCATAAAACACTGAGATTTTTCATGGCTGCTGTGCTACTGCATGCTTGTGATATATGCTGTTCTTCTGATTTGAGCAATATTCCAAAATTGGTAAGCACATGAGTAATCCTAGTCAGCAGACATGGTGCTACCTCATCCAGGAGCAGGGGTTTTTTATTTTTTATTTTTTTTATTGAAGATTGTTCTGGTGGGTTGGGAAGCAAGACTCATTCTTCAACTTTTCTAATTGCCTCACCTTACTTTCATAAGGATATGTGCTACACAGTGATATATATGAACATTACAGAGTTCAGTAGCATTGCTTTGTTGTAGATGAACAAAAAAAGAGTGTGATGGTCAGCACAGTATTCTTGTTTGTCAAACTTGGACTGACAGCTAGGGAAAACTGTGCAGGTAACACAGAACGAGGGTTGTCTCACTGACACGCTCTAGCATATAGCCTCTTCTCCATGCAGTAGACACTGAGCAGTAATGGTTTGGAACAGGGAAACTTTGAGAAGCTGTGTCTAGTTAGTATGACATCTCACCTGAGAAAATACTATCGTATTTACTGTGGTGTATTGTTCAGGAGACGTATTAAGCACGTCCAGTGTTATCATTCTTTTTAACAGTAGGTATCAAAATCCTTTCCTAAGTGAGAAGCAGTATTGTGCAGACTGTACAAAAAGGTTGAGTCACCTGTCTCAAAGCCTTTGCAGGTGGTAGGACTAGAAATAAAACTCAGATCAGCTATCCTAGATGCTGTGCAAGTTTGATCACTGCAGCCATAGATGACAAACCTCTACCTGGATAAAGGACAAGAAATGACATAACTTGCACAGCACCACATAGGTGAGGCTTGCTTAACATTCTGCATATTGCATTATCTGCTAAACTACACTACCTCTGGAATTAATTAAGGCTAATGAAATAGTGATGCTATCAAGAGGCAATTGATAAGAAAAGTCTCACCGTGAATTGGTGAAAGTTATAGCTTATATCACAAAAATAATGCCCATTAAAGTACCACTCCACAGCAAAGAGGAACCAATCATATTACAAACATAACAATCTGCATGGAGAACTAACCATATAGGAGATACACGTTTATTGGTTAGAAAAATTGCTAACATATTTTCAATGTAATCAACAATTTTTATTCCAGAACTACAACAACTGGATACATACCGTATTATCAGAATCTGTGAGCACAGTCCCTCTTCACTTATATATGAAGTTGATGGCCTTACATTAGGAAAGAATCCCATTCAGGGACATCCATGAAGTTATTCACATGATTAAGATGAGTAAGATTTCACTTAATGTGGGCAGCTGGCATCCCTTATGCATATCACACATTACCAGTTATACTCTTATTTTATCCTTACTCAGTGCTGCAATACTGAAAATGTAATTTCATCCATCCAAGCATCAATATTGATCCCTGGCTACACTATGTATTTCCAGTTAAACAGTGTGAAAAATCCCACCTTTTCAGCCCTGGTTTTAGTTAAATAACTCAGCTGAAGGCTACAAGAATAGTTTGTATTCAGTTTTCTCATTCTACATGTGAGAATGATTGGCAGTAATCTACTTCAAACAGTGATCTCCCATAGTTTTTCAACAAGATATAAATGGAAACAAATAATTTTGATCAATCTTCAGTTTATACAAACAATAAATAGCATATTGCAATCAGTAAGCAAATCTGTAGGGGTACAGTTTATAGCAGCAGGTCATTTGCTTGTACTGCAATTTAGATTTCAGTTTTCTTGTATCAGCTTAGCAATTTTACCTGCTATGTTTCCCAGAACACTGTGGTGTATCCTATTGGCACAGGCAATTTGGCTATGCAGAAGCATAGTAATATTTCCATAATTTCCCTTGCAAGGCAGAAGTTTATGTTACCTCTCCTTCTGCCAAAAGGAAAGGCACAGTTGTTTCATTGCTTACAGATTGTGACCTTCTTATGTGAAGATCAGTGAGTCCTCTTTGATCATTAAGTGTGACCTCCCATGGAACATGGGAGGCAGAGTCCCACTTGGTTGTGAAGTCCCTGGCTGTGAGCCCAAACTACTCCCTTCCCATCTGCATCTCACCATTCAACAACAAAGCTGTTTGGTGTTGGTGTAAGCAAATGGGATTCCTATTAGAAATTATGCTTGCCTTGCCTTTCAAGACTGTCTCTATCTCTGCTTAAGAGGAAATGGATAAAAAAGACAATGTGATAGAATAATGAGTCTTTTCTATAGAAGGAAAGGAGGTCAGAGACAGGGATCTGTGGAATTACTGCTGGCCAACTTCTGTCATCCTGCTCCAGGGTGAGTTTGTCTGTAAGATGAGGAAGCACAATCTCTTCCATCAGCCAGATCATTACTGACTGGCTGTGGGAATTGAAAGGTTTCATGCTGGAACAACTCATGTTGATGGCTTCAAGCCCAGGCATTCTTAGGAAAAGCTGCAAGATAAGCAGGGATTCAGAAGAGTTGAGAAACTCTGAAAATTGTCTTGGGGGCTGAGCCACGATGTATTGTAGTATAGGCAGTTAGTGGGTCAGGGGTTGAAGAGCAACCCAACCCTCAGTTTAGGATTGTGGACAGTAGCCTATGTGAGACACTGAGGGCCAGGAAACACTGTGCCTTGGTGCAGCACTGGTGCTCACTGCTGCTGTCCTTCAGGGGAGTAGTGTGCTTCTCTGGCACTACCTGTGCTGATGCAGGCACAGGGTTAAGCCCACAGATGAACTACTTGTCTGCACATGTTAGCTGTGCAGTATGTGTGAAGTGTAGTTAGTTTGGGCCTTGCTTATAACTAGTAGGTACAGCAATACTTTACCCATGCTTTTGAAGGAGGGTCAGTGGGGCCTAAGGGAATCTGACCCTCTCTGTACCAAATGACCAACACTAAACCTGACATCCTTGTAGTTACATTCACCATAGCACCACAGTCTATGGATTGAGACGGAGGCCAAATTTTTTTAAGAGTACCAATTGCAGTAAAAGCAAAAACTCTTCAGAAGCATAAAGGTTCTTTGAATCACTACTGCATTTATAATAAAAAGAGGAGTAAGTCACTATAAATATTTAAGTGTCTTAAATAAAGATTAATTAAGAACTAGGCAGGAAGCTGCCTTTTCTATTTAAGCAATACATTTTTAATTGCAAAGTATGCTTTAGTAACAAATTGGGGCTTAATGGAAATATGTAAGGAGAAATATGTAAGGAGAAATCTGAAGGTCAGGGATAATGATCAGATACCTGTAATTACATCTGCACATAGAATACTGCACTATACTTTTGTAAATATTGCAAAGATTACTTACAGATATTCACTGAATAAAGCACTAAGTTCTGTTGAAGTGTTTACTGTCAGCTACTCAGAGATGCTGAAAAAATGGTTTTGGAATGTATGGGCAGGGCATATCTTGGTTTTGTTTTAGCATGGTGCCTTGGTTTGTTTTGACGACTCACACTTCCCCTTTTGGGTGAGCTCATTTTATTTATTTTTGCAAATACACACATAGAGTTTTACACCAAAATTAGTATATTGCTATCCATCTAGGTTTGCAATGCCCAGTTTCACAATTTTGAGTGCTGGGTACTAAGCTGAAGAAGTAAAATTTTATAGACTGGAAAAGGAAAAGGAATTCCTGCAGTATTAGTTTCATAAAGGTAATTCTGAAATGTAGTTATATAATTGGATGCATAAAACTGAAAGAAAATAACCAAACTTCATGAAGGATCTAAGAATTAAAACCTCTTGATATTAAAATGATGGGTCAGGCTGAAACCATGCAGTCTCACATCATATGATCGTGGCCTCCTACCATGTTAAAAGAAGGCCTCTTTCTTATCTTGCTTTTTTTTGCACATGAATGCCTTTTGCATATTCACAGCTAAGAACAAAAGGTGAAAATAAAGGGCCAGAGAAAAAAATCAAGGAGTTCTCCTCAGTCATTCTCATGGTGGGACATTCAACAGAAGGACAGTTTTTTATTTTTTTTTTATTACTGTTTGAATTTTCTGAATGCAACCTTCCAAATTTATCTCAGGGCACCTGCAGTAGGAGATTGCTATGATCTTTGAGTACTGATCAGCCCCCATAGTACTTTATTCTATGATTATAGTAGAGCTTTGCTTGCTCTTCTCCTAGTGACTTGCTGGCAAGCTGAAACTGAGAAATGAACGTAAGCAAGGGTAAGTGGTTTTGCTTTTGGCAACTTTGTAGAGTCTCACTTGAAATGGAAATGTTTTACTATTTTGTCTCAGGAATGAAGTTCCTAAGCAGAAACACAGCAACTTTGCAGACAGTATATCTTCCTTCTCTGGTATTAGCATGGCAAACACTACTACACTTAGTATAAACTGTTAGCCTGACACACTGCAGCTCTAGCAACTTCTTTTTTTCTGATGCTCAAACACTGGTACTTCTTATGCTAATAACAGAGCATTAGGAATATCCTGTCTATCCTGTGGTCCCATGGCAGAGGCAGGAGCCAACCTCCTTCTCTGCAAATATAAAAATTCCTAGTTAACCCCAAAGCAGAGAATACTGAAGTGATGTACTGAAGTGAGAGAGTAAAAAAAAAAAATTATAGAAAAAACAGACGGTTAAATACAAAAGATTTTTGACTGAACAGGCAAGGCATACATCTGAATACAATGGGTTATATCCTTAAATAGTATAAATAACCTAAAGTGCATTAATCTCAGACCTACATTGATTATTCCCTACAGCACAAGTCAAGAAGAATACAGTGTTGGGCTCTGACATTGCTAAGCCTTGCTGGCTTGCACAGTTCTTAAGCCAAGTTGAGAAAACAAATGTGAGGAGTTAGGAGCATTTTACTAGCTGTCTTCTTAGAGAACCTAAGCAACACGTGGTTCACAGCCTGCGAGCTGCTCTGCCTTTCCAGAGGGGTCCTGTGCATGCTGGCAGGACAACCTGGGCTAGCCTCTGCAGCATCTCTGGCTCTACATATGCTGTGAATCAAATGATGCCTTCAGCATCCCCCCTTATTTACTCAGGCAGCTTTCTTAACAGCAACAGGTGCTTTTCTGTGAGAAAAGTCTATAATCCTCTAAACATCTCTAAGCATTAAAAAGAAATGTGAGGAAAAATAAGAATGTCTTTTTAACAATTTTGAGCATTGATTTTCCTGGTGAGTATATTAAGCAGACAGTCTTGTATAGAATACATTCTCTATTGCTTCTTCAGCTATAATGATCTTTGCTTCACAAGTCATCAATTTCAAATGTTCATTCTCTAAAATAATGACTGTCTCTCATCTTGCTTCATAAGTCATCAATTTCAAATATTAGTTCTCTAAAATAATGACTGTCTCTCACTGCCTATATATTTGTCTATTTACAGCATAGGCCATGGTTTTTGCTGGACCAAAGAAAAACAAATCCAAGTGAGTTAGACATTGTTTGTAAGACAGTTCTATTTTACTGTAATAAATTTACTGTATTGACTCTGATCTATTTTTTTTTGTCATAACAAACAGTTGATGAAGCAAGGATGCCTCTTGCTTTCCTCAATATTTTGTAGGTGTAAGCTTTTGTTAAGAAATTACATTTTATGAATGCTTAATATAAAAATAAAATATTAATGGTGCTTATCATCTTATAAAGACACTTAATGGTTATAGTAAGAGTTCAATCTATTTAGTCTTGCTAGATTTGCAGGACCAGAAGCAACAATTAGAAATGCATCTATACCAGGTTAGATTTGGAAATAAGCACCACTGTTGGCAAATTAAAACACAGTGCCTTTAAAGGTTATTTATAAGGGTTGCTTAATATTGCATTTTTATGCTGATGTAACTGTTTATTTCAAAAGAGCTATAAATGCTGGGCTTACCTCTCCACTGAGGAACATGTGTTTTCTACCGAGGATTCTCCACTGAAGCCTGTAATTACGTGGTGCCATTCCAGTCTAGCTGAGTGCAGAATCAAGACCTGCGTGTTTTGACCACCTGAGCCATGGTCCTCCACTTGCCCACACAGCTCCTAGCCACTAACTGACATTTCCAGAGATTTCAGCTGACAACCAGATCTGGCTGACAGAAGTCAAGATACAGAGGTTCTTTTCTATGTACTTGTAGTTCATCTACAGCACAAATGAAACAAGTGTGTCCCTTACCATTGATCTTTTTCTATCGTTTGAGCAATGAATATGTTGAAGTGTTGCTGTAAACAGGGTGGGAATACTACTGCTGTGCATCAGGAGTAAAACAAATAAGACAAGACAGTAAAAAAAAGATGCTTTCTTGCTGAAACAGACCAAATCACAGCATGGAACATTATTACAGAATCTGACAGCAGAGCACTAATTTGCTTCTTTGAATGATGCAGATTCAATCAATAAATCTCCAGCTATCAGAGTAAATCCTTCAGGAAGATAAACCAAAACCAGAAAATCAGAATTTGCTCTTCTTTCCACAAAACATTTAAAACATTTAACTATTTTTTTTCCTGCTGTGCCTTCTTAGTAAAGTATTGAGTCTATTCTAAAGCTATGCTTTATTTTCATCACACAAGCATATCAACCTGCCTGTACTCCCATTACTTAAAAAAATACTTTAGTGAATTAAAAGGATTATGAAGACTTCTCAGGGTGCAGATATATAAACACTTGCCAGGTGATAATCCAACTTGAGAGGAAAGCCCAGCAACTATATAAGAATGCAGATTATACATTAAAATATAGCCTGGGAGGGCATGTCAGATTCAGCTCTGATTTATGTATCTTCAATGGCTGGGGTCAGCCTTAGTTAAAAGGAGCTATTGCATGAGTTCAGACAGTTTTAAAACTGGAACTGTTTGACTTGCTGCAGTCTATTTCATTCATAAATTCTTTACTATAATATTTGCTTAAAAATCATGTCTGATACTGGCCATCAGGTCCAGCTTCAGTGAGCCAGTGAACTATTTCTACACAGCTTCAGTTCTACAAGTTACTTCAAGTCTGTGCCTTACTCCCTAAGGTCAAGTCAAAGCTGTATGTTAAAATCTATGCCAAATCAGGGATTAAATCCTACATTCTGTATCCCCAGCCCCACATACTCTGTGTATGCATGGCCAAACCAAACAAAGAAAAGAAAGAGGTGGTTAGTATTAGCAATACTTGGCATGTGAGGGGAGTAGAAAGATCTACAGAGTTTCCTGAAGGGCTTCTTTTAGCCCTGTTTTCTATGATTCTCTTTCTTGACGGCAAGACAGAAGTTGACTAAAATTCTGGACAGAGTGGAAAATTCAGTCTCTTGTAAGTCCTTTTATGGATGATAACAAAAGGAGGAGATGCACCATCCTATGCCTTCCCTGCTGCCTGGTAAGGGGTTGGGTGGCAGAGTAGGGGAGGGAATGATGGCTTCTGCAGAAGAGAACTCTGAAGCTCTATGGAGGGAAAAACTGACATGTCCTGATAGGACAGAGTGACCTTGGCAGACCATACACATAAAGTTAAGGGGATGGATACCACTAAGAAAATGAACAGAATAGTAAGTGCAAAACTGAACTTCAAAAAGCAGCGTTCTACCATGCCAGTGAGTTCCCCATCACTGCTATCACTGCAAGAGACTCAGTTAGCTGAATTTTCTGAAACTCTTACACAATGCTTTTTGAATCACTAATTGTGGTTGTTAAGCTGTAAAGTACCTCTGTTCTGGCAAAAAGAAATGAATCTAAGTCATACACCTGCAAACCTAGAAAGGGTTAGACAGTATCAATTAAAACAAACAAACAAAAAAAAACAAACAAACACTTCTTATTTCAGAGGGCATCACCTCAACCACAAATTACTAAATCTTCAGGGAATATGGTTTAAAGACTGCACATTGTACTTAGTCACAACTATATCTTAAAACAATTATTTAGGGAAGAAGCACCTGCATTTGTCTATGGTTTGAATGGAGCAGATGACAGAATGCTTAAAGGAATAGAAATGCCTCTTATATATCCACTTGCTGAATATTCAACCACACACTTATGTACTTTCTCCAGCCCTCTGCTTCATATTTAGCACGAACTTCACACGAGCACTTCAAAGTCACCCAATTATCTTATTTCATATCCCTTCTCAAAGTTCCTATTTGCCATGATGCCTATAAATGTAGAATACAGTAAAGGAGATAGGAGGGACCACAGGAGGTCATTTATCCATCTGCCCAAGCCAGAATCAAATTATTACTGAAGACTACTGCAGTCTCTAGAGTGACAGAAAGTCTGCCAGGATCCAAGTAACCTGTCCCAGTGCTGCCTGAATCCTTCTCATCTTTCATATCCTTCCTTTAAAGAAGAATCCAAGCATAATTCCTTTTACTCCATTTCTGTGGAGATGAAGAACACCTTTTCCTTCCTCTACTAATGAATCACAGAATCACAGAACTGTCTAGGTTGGAAGAGACCTCAAGACCATCAAGTACAACCTCTGACCTAACACTAACCAGTCCTCCACTAAACCATATCACTAAGCTCTACATCTAAATGTCTTTTAAAGACCTCTAGGGATGGTGACTCCACCACTTCCCTGGGCAGCCCATTCCAATGCCTGACAACCCTCTCAGTAAAGAAGTTCTTCCTAATATCCAACCTAAAAAAACCCTGGCGCAACTTTAGCCCATTCCCCCTCATCCTGTCACCAGGCACATGGGAGAATAGAGCAATCTCCACCTCACTACAGCCTCCTTTAAGGTACCTGTAGAGTGCAATAAGGTCGCCCCTGAGCCTCCTTTTCTCTAGGCTGAACAAGCCCAGCTCCCTCAGCTGCTCCTCATAGGACCTGTTCTCCAGGCCCCTCACCAGCTTCGTCGCCCTTCTCTGGACCCGCTCAAGCACCTCGATGTCCTTCTTGTAGCGAGGGTCCCAAACCTGAACACAGTACTCAAGGTGTGGCCTCACCAGAGCCGCGTACAGGGGGACAATTACTTCCCTAGAAGCCACTGTAATACCAGACTACGAGCAGTGCTGGCTGTTTACCTCACGCATATTTCACTGTTACCTTTATCTCCCTTGTCTTGCCCCTTGCCTCACTGACTGAGGCAATCGGCACAGGGGCAGACACGTTCTGCAGCAGAGCAGGGGATTGAGGTGGGCAAGGCTTTTTGTCTGGCATTGAGGCCACTCGAGGCAGCCAAGGGGGCTGCCAGGGCCCAGCAGCCCTCATGAGGGAGGCTGATGAGGTGTGATCGCAGCCAGCAGTGCCCTGTCCCCGGCCCTACAAAGGCAGCCCTGAGGGAGCACGGTGACCAGGACAGGCACACAGGGCAGGGTGCGGCAGTTTGCACAGCCCGGTGGCAGAGCTCAAGGAGGAGGTGGAGAGGTTAAGGGCTAACAGGGATTGTGAGCAGGAGATAGACCAGTGGAGCAATTCCCTGCCAGGCCTGAAGGAAAGGCACTGGGGTGAGACACCCCAAACAGTGGTAGATCCCCTGGGTGAGGGGGAGACCCATGGGTGAGGATGAGGACTGCCTCCACTAAGAAAGAAAGAAGGGTGATCGTTGTAGGCAACTCCCTTCTCAGGGGAACAGAGGGTCCTATCTGTTGACCTGACCCTACTCATAGGGAAGTCTGCTGCCTCCCTGGGGCCAGGGTCAGGGACATTGCCAGGAAGCTTCCCAACATGGTTTGCCCCTCTGATCACTATTCTCTATTGATAGTCCAGGCTGGCAGCAATGAAATTGCTGAGAGAAGCCTGAAGGCTATCAAACGGGACTTTAGGGGACTGGGATGATTCGTAGATGGAGAGGGAGTACAGGTGGTTTTTTCCTCTATCCCTGCAGTGGCAGGAAGGGATACAGAGAGGACACAGAAACCCCACCTGATAAACACATATCTCAGTGGCGGATGTCATCACAGGATATATAAATATATATATATATATATATATATATATATATATGTATGTATAAAATATATATATTATTATTTTTTAAAATTATATATATATATATATATTATTTTTTTTTGACCATGGGGTGCTTTACTCAGCATCTGGCCTAATACCTGCAGATGGGTCCCACCTATCTCCAAAGACAAAATGGGTCCCAGCCCAGGAGCTGGTAGGGCTCATTAAGAGGGCTTTAAACTAGGTAGGAAGGGGGACGGGTATGAAATAAGGCTCGTTAGAGGTGTGCCTGGGGAACAGTGTCAGTGTCAGTGTCAGTGTCAGTGTCAGTGTCAGAGTCAGAGTCAGAGTCAGGGTCAGAGGAGCAGGCAGTGGCCCATCTGAAGTGCATCTACACTAATGCATGCCACATGGGCAACAAATAGGAGGAGCTGGAAGCCACTGTGCAGCAGGCAGGCTATGACTTGGTTGCTATCACTGAAATGTGGTGGGACCGCTCCCATGACTGGAGTGCTATAATGACTGGCCATAGGCTCTTCAGAAGGGACAGGCAGCACAGGAGGGGTGGTGGTGTGGCTCTCTATATTATAGAATGTTTTGATGTTGTGGGACTTGAGGCTGGGAATGATAAGGTTGAGTCCCTGTGGGTTAGGATCAGTGGGAAGGCCAACAAGGCAAGCATCCTCATGGGGGTCTGTTATAGACCACCAAACCAGGATGAGATGGATGAGGTGTTCTACAAGCAGTTGGCAGAAGTTGTGCAATTGCCAGCACTTGTTCTTGTGGGGGATTTCAACTTCCCAGATATATACTGGAAACACAATACAACTCAGAGGAAGCAGTCTAGGAGATTTCTGGAGACTGTGGAAAATCAGTCTTCCTGATCAGTGTTCCTGAGCTTCCTGACACAGCTGGACTAGGGAGTTTTGGTTGATAGTCAGCTGAATATGAGCCAGCAGTGTGCTCAGGTGGCCAAGAAGGCCAACAGCATCCTGACTTGTATAAGAAGCAGTGTGGCCAGCAGGGCTAGGGAAGTGTTTGTCCCCCTATACTCAGCTCTGGTGAGGCCACACCTTGAGTACTGTGTTCAGTTATGGGCCCCTTGCTACAAGGACACTGAGGAGCTCGAGTGAGTCCAGAGAAGGGCAATGAAGCTGGTGAGGGGTCTGGAGAACAAGTCTCAGGAGGAGCAGCTGAGGGAGCTGCGATTGTTCAGCCTGGAGAAGAGGAGGCTCAGGGGTGACCTTATTGCACTCTACAGGTACCTTAAAGGAGGCTGTAGTGAGGTGGAGATTGCTCTATTCTCCCATGTGCCTGGTGACAGGACAAGGGGGAATGGGCTAAAGTTGTGCCAGGGGAGGTTTAGTTTGGATATTATGAAGAACTTCTTTACTGAGAGGCTTTTTAGGCATTGGAATGGGCTGCACAGGGAAGTGATGGAGTCACCATCCCTAGAAGTCTTTAAAAGATTTTTAGATGTAGAGCTTAGTGGTATGGTTTAGTGGAAGACTAGTTAGTGTTAGGTCAGAGGTTGGACTAGGTAATCTTGGAGGTCTCTTCCAACCTAGATGATTCTGTGTGATTCTGTGATTACCTATATTTTATTTAGATAGCAAATACCTAATGCTAGGGACCAACCTTCTGATCTGTGTACCTAAAATTCAGATCAGGGCTCATTTGGTAGTATCTTCATTCACATTAATAGTAATAAAATGAGGAAAACCTGAAAGATTGTGGTTGTTAAAAGAACAGAATACCGGGAACTTCTACTGATTAGTTCACAGAATTCTAAAGATAATGAATATGAGTTAAGAAATGATTAAAAGCCGGCTTAAATTTGCCAATAACATTGTCAAACCAGTCTAGTTACCTTCTACAAAATGATAACAGGCTTTTGTAAGAGAAGTGCTGCCTGCTTTGCTAAAGGTTTTGACACTGTCTCATATAGCATTCTTGTAAGTAACAAGAGGAAAAACTGGTCTGAATGAAATGTTCATTCAACAGATAAAATGTTACAGAGTTTATCAGATTACTTAGTGAAGCACTAGGTTTACTGAAAAATCAAAGGTTAAAATAATCAGGGTTATACTGGAGTTTGTGCTGCATCTAGCATTGCTCAATGTTTTCGTTGCTGAGCTGGATGACAGAAGTGTGTTTTCCAAGTTTACAGATCACAGTAGACTATGAAGGACTGCAAAGACATTGAAAAACAAGATAACTGTAAAGAAGCTCTATAAATTAGAGAAATGATGGGGTGTTAGTATAGATAAGAGAGTTATACTGTTCTTGGTTAGGAAAATTCAACTGCAGAAGTACAGCATAGCAAGAGTTTTGAGTTATGTGTATGAAAATCAAGTTTGTTTCATACTTATAATTGAGGTACAGGTAGGTATCCAGGATGTGCCTTATGCATAACCAGTGTACTTCATTCATTCATTTTTTCCTTCCTCAGCCCAGGAACTGCTTAGCCAGTCACTTGTATAATAGCGACAAAGAACTGATTTCAGACCAGTAATCAGCTTGAATCTAGGTGATGGGCTCACCTTCACAGTCAAGTGTTTGACTGATTGTTACAGGTGACCTCCAGGTGGGAATTTTGGAAAGTTCTAGAAATCACTCCCCTCTCCCAGTTCATGTTGTGTCTAGTTCAATTTGTGTGACTGGATGCATTAACACCTTGAGCAGAGTGCCCCAAAGACTGCTTTCAGTGGTTCCTGCTGCAAGATTATACGTAGGCAAGACATTTGCAAGTAGTCAGTAGAAACTTGTTCCTGCAGAAATGGTCACATAGGACAGTCTTTTATGTGTAGTTAAGATATTTAAGAGACTTTGTATGTAAATAAAGATACATGAACAGTAATGAGTTGCACTGTGTACTGGTTAGTGACGCAGGGCAATGGCCAGCTGGATT